AAAGCATGCGTTTACTTAAAATTTAAGAGGTCTTTCAGCTGCCTTTAAGTCCCTCGTAAACATTGTCTTTACGTGCCCTTTCCGTAGTACTGGAAAGATACGTATTTGCACTACTTTAGCGGTGCCTTTACGCACCTTTCATGTCCGTAAAGGCTTTGTAAACTATTCCTTTAAGTATTGTTTACGGACCTTTTTTGGTCGGAAAGCATGCGTTTACTTAAAATTTAAGAGGTCTTTTAGCTGCCTTTAAGTCCCTCGTAAACATTGTCTTTACGTGCCCTTTCCGTAGTACTGGAAAGATACGTATTTGCACTTAAGCAGTGCCTTTACGCACCTTTTATGTCCGTAAAGGCTTTGTAAACTATTCCTTTAATCACTGTTTACGGACAATTTTAAGCTTTAAGTTGCCTTTCCGAACATTTGGATCGGCTGTGCATAACCTTAACTTACGTCGGTATATGTGAATATGATGACAGAAACAGATATGATCTGAGAACAATTTATTGAGTAAAACATACAAAATACAATGATTCCTAATAAAATGTTTTAGAAGAAGATGTTAGCTCATACTATATTGTCACATTATTACGTATCCCTCCCCAGCTGCAGATTACGTATAATGAAAACAGTTCAAAATAATACATTCCTAAACTAAGCTCACCAATACAAGGAATTGACTACTTGTATCTCCAAACATATATTTGATCAGCTCCCTCGTATACGGCGTTTTGTGAAAGATTTCTCCTCCGTCCTCCTGGATGTTGTCAGACAGACCGAGCCGGGCCGAGAGTCGTGTTGTCGTTGCCGCTGCTTAGAAGCCCCTGGATTCTTTGCGACTGGGCCTCCACCAATTTCAACATATTCTAAAGAAGTCGAAAAAATTTTCTTGCCTTTCCTCGCTCCATGAGATTCTCAACTTCAGCCATAATGTCTCAATTAGAAGGAGGGTCGACGTATCTTCGACATAGACGCCATAAAAATGAGTTGAGTCCGGTAGATTTGAACCTCGCTGTCTTGTATCCCATTGGGTACCGCCCTATCACATAACACGTTCCTCATTGGGTGTCTGCATATGGATACTTTGTAAGTTCACGCGAAGGACATAAAAGTAATGTAAGTTTTGTCATGCTTCACGAATGAAGCAAAATGAAAGTGTGAAGCCGGCTGGGCGATAAACTCGTTTATCTTTTTGCCGTTTGGAACATGGTTAGACGTTAAAAAACAAGCTACGAAACGGAACATTTGCCTTTCAGAGGCCTTTACGAAGTCGTAAAGTCAACTGAAATATTTTCCGACCTTTAATACTTCTTTACATATGCGGAAAGTTTGCTTAAATGTCTTTATATATTTACGTCGTATTTAAGCCCACTGAAAGGTGACGGAAAGGCGGAATTTACCTTTCAGCAACCTTTACGAAGTCGTAAAGTCAACTTGAATATTTGTCCACCTTTAATACCTCTTTACATATTGCGGAAAGTTTGCTTAAATATCTGTTTTCGTGCTGTGCAAGTGTCCAAACATTTACTAATCGATTTACCGAGGAAAATGCCGCGACCTTTCCACCGTGTCGTCTCTTTGTTCACGCTTTATTCTCGTCACGAGGTACTGTGGATTTATGGCTAGCTGAGACGTCATAGTAAGGCCGCAGCAAGTCATATTTTATGGATAGCATCCTCCGCAGACCCCAAATGCAATGCGATAGGGCGAAAAAGGTGGGCCAAAAAACAAGGTCCCTTTATTTTTAAATTTTGACATCATAAACCTTGTTATACAAAATATAATACTTATATTTTTTCCAAAATCAGGCGAAAATTAATGCGCGCGCTGATGTCATTCACAAAAATTACTTTTTATTTTTCATTTATTAGAAATTACTGTAGCAACTGATATGCGTACAGTAGGGCCATGGTAAGTAAATTTTATGTTTGGCGTGACATATAGACTCCATATTTACTGAAGGAACGGGAAAATCAAGATTGGCAAATACACACACACACAAGATGCCTAACTTTTCAAAATATAGTGCGCAGTGTACAGGCTTGGGGTTTGATATAATTGCTGGTGTATTCCAGTATCATTTTAAACTGTTTAACTGTTTTCGTTAGCCATACGCGCAAGCTAAGCAGGCAACAGCCCAAGTTCCATCCAATAAACTAAACTATAGACCATCATATTGTATATTAGCGGTTATACGGTATACCTAGAGTTGATTATTTTGTAACAAAACAATGAGATATACAGTAATGACGTCCCTTGGGGACCAATGCCTGTCGACTTTTATTTGCCGGATGGCTGAGCTTGATAAAGTGTATGACTGTTGGAGGAAGGGGGAGGGGGGCACGTCTGGAAATTAAGAGCTTTCCATACCTTATGGTCGTAACTTTGTATTCCTTGAGTATATCTTGAGAAATCTTTACTTCATAGGCTTAGGTCATAAACTGACGCCGAACAAGTTATAAGATCAGCATTTCCAAAAAATGTCATCTAAATATTATGAGATTTATATATAGTATAACTTCTTATTCAGAGGGCCTTTACGTGGGCCAAGCAAACAATGACGTCAAACATTACAAACACATTTTAAGATAAAAAATTCGAACAAAATCTTATGTTTTGTGTATGAGATTTATTATCATATAATTTCGTATCCTGAGGCTCCATTTGAGGCTCTCAACAGCGATGTAAATGAATTTGACTTGGTGTTACCACTAAGATTAAAGATGCTAGATTGCTCAGGTAACACATAAAAGTTAGATAGAAATTAGACATTTCTTTCCCGAAATGTTCTGCGTCACCGTTTTGAACTTGACCTTTTGACCTTTCACGTTATTATAACGTTATCTGGTTCTCTGCGCGAACCATCTGTACCGGAAGTGCAATCATGTACACACACCGGAAGTGGCGTGACGTATTTGTTTGTAAGCCTCTCACGACACTTCATAGCAACATGCCTATTATCTCCAAGCAGATATGGGGAGGAATGACCTAACATTTTCATACTTGTGAAGTTCTGCTAACACACAACCTCATGGGGAAGGTAAAGGGTGTTTGGACCTTTCCTTCCAACTGCTTGAAGATTACCACACTTGGAACATTCAGTATCGCATCCAGAACCGTTCCTATCTAGTACTATGCCTGAACGGGTTAAGGGTAAGGTCAGAAACGATTCTGGATAGTCTCCACGTATCCGAGAACGTAGATTTGCCCCTGGCCGGTTCTAGATACGCGCGGACTATCCAGAACACGGGGCCTCAAAAAGCACGGTTCTGGATACAGCATTCAGTACAAGGTTGTGCTTAGAATATACACAGTTGTTAATGACATATCAAACGGTGCACATCGGACATCGTGACGCAAATAACTCGCCATTGTGCTGTTATATGTTGAATAAACATCGGAGTTAAAGGCTTTAGTTTGGTACATCAACAAGGCGTGTTTTATGTGGTACTGGAATATAATAGACACAGGTAACAGTCTCGCACGGCTGCATAAAATAACACAGGTTTGGAATAGAACATGTTCTACGTACATTTTGAAAGAGTATTGAAGGCACCGGATGTTATAAAATACATGTACAGGACCAAATCAATTAAAATCATAGAACAAATTCTTGGACAGTTACCATGCAAGAATAGGACAGGTATGGTTGGTACGTTTACCGTCAATGCCCATTCTTTTATGCAAACAAACCATGCCCACAATTTCTTTTTTTTGTCCCTTGCACGAATAATACTTTGCATTATGACTCTATGTATCATATTACAGCTTGCAGACATTTTGTAGCTGTACATTTTTAAATTTTGAAGAGTCTACTCGTCTCGACTGTTGCAACCTAGAATCATTACCATATTTCTCCGGGCCTTGACTATGTGAAAACAGACAAGCCATTTCCCCTTCCACGAGCTAGACATCTCACCAACTAATCGGTCAATTCTCTTCTACAAAACTGCTTTTTGATACCCCTTCACCCGTATCTATCACCCATGAAACAAAGCCTGGGCAGCTATCTACCTCTTTTTGTAGAATTACGTTCAATTCGTCTGCAAATAAGAAGAAAATGGGGTAAAGGGAATAATGAAGCGTATTTTTTGGGTTTTCTGGGACAACCTAGGGGCGTCAGTCAGTGTGAATGCGGCGCGAGAACCTGCATATTTAATGCATCATGAAAAATTGATGTTACGGGCAGCCTCTAAAATCGCTCAAATTCTACGCAGCAGTTCGTCCTTCAAATATAATCCTAAAAACGCCAGGAACACAAACACACCTGCAAGGTTTACCTGAAAATATTGCAAAGATGTTCTCACCTTTTAATTGCCACACCTGGACGTATTATACAGGTGACGTCACATACACTGAGCATCAATCCATCCCTATATCCTGTCCCTGTCTTCTAACATTCTCATCTTAAATTATAACTGAAACATGTTAGTTTACACGATTTCCCTGCGTTGTGCTAGTAGAATAATACAAGAGAATGTAGATAAGAGAATGTCGTACCTTTCCAGGCCTTGGCTGCAGCGTTCACGGCTTGTAATAACGCGCTTCACCAGGCAGCACCCCTTTCTGGCGACTGCGTCAAACGCCGCTTCTACCGGGACGGTACGTTTCAGCTACGGGGGAGGGTGTGTGACGCAGTCATACTGCGCAACGTGCCTCTAGAGTACATGTTCTCTCCAAGCAGAGGTTTGGGCTTTGGCTTGTTTTTTAAAGGGTTTAGACACTTTCATCGTGCTCTTGTGTCTTTTTATAGTATTCTTTTTTGTACGGGTACAAATTTTAACTGCCTGGCATACTTACTGGCCAATTTGCAGGCTCCAATTTGATACCGTATTTGCAACCACCAAAGGATCTGCTTGGAGTCTATTAAAGTATGCAACCTCGAGCGAGTTGAGACAAAAAAATTAACCCAGCTTTCTTGAATTTGATGAAGTTTTAAAAGCTTACTGTTAAGTATTTTCCAGGAATCATGTTGCCAGAACGCCATATATGGTAATGATGGTTAGCGTTATCCTTTGATCTTGCCGACGAGTAGTCACCTTTCCGGGAACCGTATTTTCCAGTCGATACGCTTACGACACGAAGCAAGGAAACGTGAAGAAAATCCTAACATACAAATACGGAGAAAAATGATTCATGATATGTGCCAGGATTATGGCCCGGATCCATTTGCTATAATGCTCTATCCTTAAGAAAGGTCAAACAAAATAAAGAAGGTAGATTCGTGCCCTAGACATTTACTCTAACCTCAACCCAGACCCCAACTCTCTGGCTAACCCTTTAGCCTAATCAAGGAGGTTAGAAAATAACTTCGTCTTTTTGTGGTAGCCGAAGTCTATGCTAAACCTTCACCAAGGATTTGGGATGGGGAACTTTTGTAGACACCCTGGACGCGTATGTACTTCTATTGGATCAAATACCTTCTTATATATACTAGTAATCTTATTAACTTCATTTACTCGTTCCCGCACAGTGATGAAAAACAGGCAATAAGTAATTCATGCCAGGGGGCGCTTTTGAGACTGCTCCGGTCACAACAATTCTTCTCACAATGCTTGCAATAGGATCTTTATTCATTTCGCATCTGTGCATTGCTTTACATACAGTTTACTCTATTCTTCCACTATCTATTTACTCAAAAGGGTGCAGGTTCTTTGCCCTGAGTAAAATTACCATAATTGTCAATGGACCAACTTCTAAAATATCATACGAAATGTACTGTGCTTTTTCTTCTGTTCCCACCTTGGCAAGGCAACCAAAAGTTGAAAGTGCGAGTTTGTACTGTACATGCAAAAAGTTACAAGAATGAATTTCTCCAGTGTTTTCTCTCATATACCCGATATATCCCCATTTGCATTGTGAGAAAGATGAAGCGTTTTAAAGTAGAATTTGGGAGGTAATCTATGCATTTCTAGTTCAAAACACACGAACGATACATTGGCACGTTGGCATTGAAATATTTTTGTCCAATGATTCTTTAAGTCAAATCCTTAATGCTGGTTCTTCTTTGACCCTTTCTAGTCTACCCTGCCCCATCTAGCCTCCTTTTCAGGCGTTCCCGGATCGGTCGCTTTTTTTTTGGGGGGGGGGGGTATTTTCTGATCAAACGTAGATCGCACGCAATAGAAGCTCCGGCCGGCAACCCTACATATATCTCCGTGGAACGCGTGGGTGCAAGGCGCTACACTGAAGTGAAATACACAGCTGTACAGCTTTAATCGTTGTGATCTTTATCTGTCAATATTATATCTCATGTTGAGCGGGTTTTTGGTCAGACAAACTATTACCAAATGTCTGTGCGTTTGCATGGAACATAGGTCGGAATTAGGACCCCTCCCGTTAGTAAATGTCAATATCAGACAGAGTTCCTAATCCAGAATCCATTTTTTTTCTCGTTTTGCCGCCGTAAAATTGCATTGTTTGCCTTAAACATTGCACTACATCCAAGAAGTGTAGTGAATCCGACTGTCACCTGATCAGCAGCGCTCCTAGCGGATTTATTACGCTTTGCAGCTGGTTGCCGTGGCGTCCCGTTTCCCTGGTACTGCTGACGTCAGAGCAATTAGCCTCGCTGTCGAACGAGGAAGGCAAAAACGCCGACTTTGCATCGAACTGTTTGGATTATGTTGAATTTTAGAGTTTTTGTTTGAATTCAAGCTACATAAGACATCACCAGACATGCTTCTATACGTGCAGAGCAAATCTTTCCCGGTAAGTTCACGGAAATATCGTGTAAACGTCGCAGTTTTGCGGAGATATTTGTTTGTTTATGTTTACAAGAAAGTGGGGAGGGGGGCGACGACAAAAAATCTGAACTGAACCTAGCCGTGGCGACTCGTAATCATTTTGTATGATAATACTGGATACCGACATACGTGTATATACTATTTCTGAATATTTTACGAAAGCCTCTTGACTATATTTTGACTTTTTTCTTCTTTGTTTACCGCCGAATACTAATGTCATAGAAATCAATATTCAGGAAAAGAAGAAAATGTGAAGAAATGAAAATGAACTTCTATTATTATTCGCCATACCATACTCTGTGTCATTTGCTCAACGTTAATGACCACATAGATTTCATAATGAATTACAAGGAAACTTTTTTCTGGAACTATTTTTAAAATTTGCACGCTTGCGTCAGTTTATGACCACTTAGATTTCATAATGAAGTAAATAAAAAAAAAAGGAAACTTTTTTTTGCTAAGGCCACACCAATTTAATTTGTTGGTTCTCGGATTTTGTCAGAAAAAACATGAAGCGACAGGGCGAAAAAAAAAAATAAAAACAGGTCTAGGCATCCTATTATGGTCTCGGACCGGAGTTTCCCTCCGTACTATTTCGAGCAATTTGACACCCTCAGCCCGACGGGCTGTCATTTCTGTACTAAACGCGGGTCGGAATTTTTCACTCTTTTGGTGGAAAGGGGTGCCGTGCCGCTTATCAATACACTTGATTGATATTTTCTGCGCCCAATTTATTTAGGGGTAAATGAGGCACATCAAAGTACATTTTGAAAAAAGGGGTCATTTTTTTCGTCATTTTTAACCATGGCTGCATGGAAAAAACGAATTTTCCCAGGGTAACGGCTTAGTACTCGAAGAAGCTCAGAACCTAATGCTTCCAAAATTTGAATTTAATTAAAATCGATGCGATAAGTTTATCGCTATCTTCGATGGCCCGAACACACCCAGAACGCATATAGAACGTACCATCCCGGCGGTCAGGCGAAAAGGCCACATAACCATCCGCGCGGACGAATACCAGGAAGTCTTAGCTGGACCACCAACATTACGCCACCTATAAAGGCTACAACTAACAGGCTTTTCAGAAAATACAAAGATATGTACACAGATATTACGATTTCAGGGATATCGCGGCCAAAACATACCATACTAAGTCACGTTTCCGGCAATTTACTGCGCACTTACTTAGACTCTGGTCAGAATTAAACTCCGACCCGGAACCTTATAGTCCCAAATGCTATGATAGGAGCCATGAAGTCAACACAAAAGGTTGTGTTAATATTTAAACAATGAATTTTGAACTTTTAATCAAACCACTGCATTGATAGATGGAAACACTGCAACAACTAGGAAGAAAAAGGACTTTTCTCAACTGTTGGGGGCAAAATATGAGCATTTTTGAGTTGATTCAGAACCAGAATCTTTTTTTTTTGCAAATCAGAAAAAAATGAAGAGGCGAATCCGAGAACCAACAAATTAAATTGGTGTGGCCTAAGCTTGTTTTTTATTTGTATGCTTGCGTCAGGTTTGGGGTTTCCAGGGGATGTCATACATATAATCAAATCAACATGGCCCAGGATCCCTACAGGGTAGTGTAGGGCTGCGGACCGGTACATTGTACCGGTCCAATACCGTAAAAATCGTTTCGGTACAGGTCCAAAATACCGGATCATGAAGTAACGAGTATATACCGAAATAGCTAGTTTACACCATGTATATGACTAAAGATAGGTAAATCCTACCACAAAGACGAAAAATTAGCACTGGAAAAGACGTAAACACCGTCGATTGATTTGAGATCCTCAGTCTCACGAGACATCGCGAGAGTGTGGCTGATCCAGGGTTGTGATAAAGATACTGACAAGTTGTCAACACTTTATTATTGTTTCTGTGTCATGATTGAAAAAGTGAAGAACACGTGTTAATTTGTCAAATTGTTCAGGTACAGGTACAGGTCCGGACCTGTACCTAAACCTCTGTACCGGTACCTGTACCTGTACCTGATGTTACGTTTAGGTACGCAGCCCTAGGGTAGTGCCATGCCCTTTTCCGTAGAGCGTAATCGGCCGTTTTAGTTCTACGTAGAGCATAAGCGGGCCACTCTAATTTCACGTAGAGCGTAATTGGCGCATTTTGCGTAGAGCGTATTCGCCCTTTTAATTCTACGTAATGTGTTGTAGCCACTTAGAATTTATCGTAAAGCAAAATTTAGACCTCTCACAATTTAGCGTGGAGCATTGTCTGGACCCCCCCTTGCAGGCCCCCATATCGGACTTAACCTGTTATAGAGATAAAACTCCCTGACAAATCATTCATGCAAATAGCTGGAGAGCACTGTATTATAAATTGATTACATTTTAGTCATCAATGTCATGTCAACCCTGAAGCAATATTTTTTTTTGTTCTTCAACACAGCACAAGACGTTTGTGGTGAAATGTAAGACTACAGACACCATCGCCCGCGTGCGTGCTCACATGCTGTACAGCCTGTATGACATGGGGAGAGTACAGCACCAGTTTAGGTTCAGGTAAGACACATGCTGTACAGCCTGTATGACATGGGGAGAGTACAGCACCAGTTCAGGTTCAAGTATTAAAGACACATGCTGTACAGCCTGTATGACATGGGGAGGGTACAGCACCAGTTCAGGTTCAGGTATTAAAGACACATGCTGTACAGCCTGTATGACATGGGGAGAGTACAGCACCAGTTTAGGTTCAGGTAAGACACATGCTGTACAGCCGCCTGTATGACATGGGGAGGGTACAGCACTAGATTAGGTTCATCAGGTAAGACAATGGACAGGAATTTTAGATACAGGAAAAGTTTTTCTTCAAATTAGTAGATAAAAAAGCATATATAAACAATAATATCAGTTTCTGTGTTTGCTACATAAAAGTGAAAATGAACAGCTGTAAATTTTTATTACATGTGCATCCATTTGTTTCCCCAGGTACAAGGGACAGTACCTGCGTGACCCCTACACTATGGAGGAGTGTAAGATCGTGGACCATGCAGTCATCACCATGGTTCCCATGGCTAAACGACAAGAGGTACGACAACTCCACATACACTGATGCATGCATTAGGTAAAAGGAGAAAACCCCTGATTGAATTTGAAAAAAAAATTCTCCTTCTACAGGGCTCCAAATTCATTGAATAGGTGCACTGGTGCACCAAACCTAAAAAATTGGGTGCACAAAAAGTTTTTGGGTGCACCATATAAAATAAAATAAGTAGAATGTTAGCAAAAACTAATTTAGTATTATGTTTCATTTCTAAAGAAAAGAGCAAAATGTACTACTGCAAATTGCAATGATTTTAGTATTTTTCTGACACTTAGAATGTAACAATATGCTTTATACTACTATACATGCATCTCTATAAAAATATTTGTCTGGTGCACCCACAGAAGAAGCACACAGCTCTAAATTTGGGTGCACTAAGGTGGACATGCACTCAGTATTTCAAGCCCTGTTCTTCATGCAGGTTGACCTAACAAGATGATTACCCAGTGTTCCTTGGTGGGTGTTTTATAACCATAACCATATTATGTCTTTGTGTCTACCTCAGTCCCTGGTGGACCTGCAGCAAAGGCTGATGGAGTCTACAGATGACCTTGACCCTTCTCATGAGCTTGACCTTGGGAAAGGTCAGACTGATGAGGTCATGAAGGCTCTGGAAAAAGAGATGAAAATCTTCTCAAGGAGAGAAAAGATGCTCGCTGGGCTGGAGGTACAAACAGAGGTTTATCTTTCAGAAAAAAAAAATTAGGTCTTCAAATTCATTATTGGGAAAAGGCTAGGTCACCTGGTGCATGAAAATATTTTTAGGTGCAACGAGAAACAAGAAAGTGGAGATTTTGGTTTTTTTTTATAATTGTGACTGTGGAGAAGATTGTATGATGTAGGGTATTACACAACTTCCTTACCGGTAATTTCTCCATAAAGTCATACAGCTCACTTACTGATGACTCAATCAATCAACTGTAAAACCACCTCCCACCTTCTATGCAACCATCACTACTCTGAGTACTCACTTGGATATGAAACACACAAACCGACAAGTCAACCACCCAAAACAATACTTCTGTATCTGGAAGTGACCACATTATAACTGTCTTAAGAAGAAGCAGAACCTGTACATTATGTAGTTTTACTATAGTATAGATATATTTTAGTCTACTATCGCTATTTTCTGTGACCTGTACTTAGTTCACCATGAGCAAAAAGGTACAATAAAGGTCTTTCATTCATTTATATCCCAGGGCCTGCTGACAGCCCAGATGATGTTGATCCTGCTGGCAGTGTTCACTCACTACTGGTACTCCATCTTCTGGAGCGGCGTGTCCTGGCTGTATGGGTACCTCCGCTGTCCCAAATACTCTCGTGTTGGCGGGTTCACAGGCATCGCCGGGCTCAAGTACGCACTTATCTGTTTGTTTGAACCTTTGTGTATTCATGAAAAGATCAAATCAACATGCAGGCCACTTTTCATTGAGGTCATGAGGGAAGAGGTAAGGGTCAGACAAAATATATTAACGATGCAGTTTATATCATTCAAAGTCCTAATGAATCTATATACATACACACTGTGTACTTTTTTGTCTCGTGGTTTGAAGTATGCACTTATTTTTCACATGGTTAACTGACTTTCATGAGATGGGGAACTTTGATACAAAAGAAAAGTGATCTTGAACGAGTTCTGCTTAAATGAACTCAATAAACAGTTGGCAAGTTGGTTTTGTGGTTAGGGAGTAGACTTACAATCTAAAGGTTCTGGGTTCAAATCCCAGGGTAGGCCCAATTCATTGGACTTTGGTACAAAAAAACGCTGTGTTATGCAATGACAGTAAAAGAATAAATTGATTTTGTCTTGTTTTATTTCCAGGAGGAGGCAGTTCTGTGTGGTTTATGGCATCATGTCTCTGATCAACTTTGGAGTCTCACTGGGACTGGGCATCTACACTGCACTCAATCTGGTGGTGAGACATACTTCAACCAGTTATTGGTGATGCTACATGATTGGCAGTATATCTTTCGATAGAGCATTTGTTAAAACAGGCAAAGCTCCCAACTCTGTCCGGACAAGCATACACACAAACCCACCAAAAATATTTTTGTACCCAGAAGTAATAAACGCTAACGTATTGTTCTGTTCTTTTCTTCCCCCAGAGTTTGCAGTGCCTGTCTTATCCTACAGAGCTGGGTACCGGCTGTACACATGCTGAAGTCTACACAGCTGGGTTCTACTTCCTACATGCCCTGGTCATGCTGTGCAGTAATGTTCTCACATGGGTCATACTGCACAACTTCAAATATGAGGTAATTTTGGTCTGATATTTCTTTCTTTGTCTCACATAATAATGTGTGTTCGGTGCATGTGTATGTGTGTGGTATAAGCTGTTGTGGCATCAGGATTATGTTACACTTATAGAGTGAACAGAAAGAGGGCGCTTTTTCCATAGGCCATTCTTGACACTGAATGCCAGCCAAGGGAAGAAGTTCCCCAGATGTGTGAATGATGACCACATGGCTACAGCACCAACCAGCTGAGATACACACCACAGATCAGTCTAATTGAGCAGTCTGCCAACAGTTTGCTTGTAGAAAACAAACAAAATCGGATTAGATCCAGAAGACTGTTAGGAAAACAAAAAAAGTTCACCCAGTTTGAAGGAGGGGCACTGGGATAGTATACTTTCTACTTCTGTGATATTTAACAGTCAAACCTGTACTAGTGACCACTTCTCAGTATGCATAACGACCAACTCACTATTCTGATCCCTTAGATAATTATCTCATTGACTCGAGCCCTGTGAATCCTGTCTATATATGGTGACCACTTGTCTACTGTGACCAGGATTGTCTTTGAGTCACTGTAGACAGGTGTGTCTGTGTGTTTGTTTGTTTGTGTTTCTGTAGTTATTTCCACATGCATTGGGAGAAGTTAGGCCAAAGGTCCCAGAAAGGTCTCAGTGTGAGTCTACCTTTCAAACTGTACAAATGTGCATAAAAAAATTATGTTCTTTCCTGTAGGTTGGAGACCTGATTGAGAAAGCCTTGGTCCTGACCAGGGATATAGAGAAGGTCATGGAAGCAGCCAGGACTGGCAAGTGAGTGACTTCAGTTCATTTTGATGCACAAAATAAGACTACCGGGTAAGGTTTTCTTTCCTTTTACCATATAGACATACTGTACTACTTCTGTACATGAAAAAGTCTTCATGTGGTAACTATAAAATAAGATTTATTTCTTCCGTGCAGAGTTAAGGAGAGAAGGACAGCGGCGTATGAGATGGCCACCATGGCCGCTTCTGGGGACGACAACAAGTTCAGGATTGTGGCAGAAGGAGGGTAGGCACTTGTGATTGTTAGTGTGTGTGTGTGTGTGTGTGTACGTGTACAAATCTTGTGCCATGTACCTGTTATTCACTACAGACACAGACACTGTGAGCCCTTTTGACAGCAGTGACACCATCAGGTAATTTTCACACCCTGCGAGCCAAACATTTGGCCAAGACTGAAAACTGTGTTCCGTCTCCATAGATGGGGGGAAACATCGTACATGATCCGTGGACGAACTTGGCTTGCTTCTCTGTCTGGCCCTAAAAACAAGTCTGGGTCTAAAAATAGCACCAGACCTTCCTCTGTTGTCACATGTAGCACAGATGCGACCATCCTTCAGAAGACTTCCTCACATTATTTAGTGTTTGAGTCGTGCAGATGTTTCGAACTGTTTATAGGTCTTTTCCTCTGTCTCTCTTTTAGACATCTGTGCTGAATATGTTTCTAGTGTGAGGGTCTGCATGCCTTTTTCCATGAGGGTAGCAAGCTATTTTATTCACCGTTATCATAGCCAGCCCACTCTTATTCAACAGGAAGTGCAGTAGGTTAAACTCTTTATGAAATGTAATTGATTGCTATGTAGTACATTATGTGTTGTACAAAATTTATCATTAAGTGCATGTTATTGACAAATTCTCCACATAGTCAGACAGTTTTAAAATATACCAATAAGCATTGCCAGGTCTCTCCATACAGGCCCTCTTGTGTTGTTTCTGATCTACACATGCATGTGTTGTTGTTGCCAGGACAACCATGTAAACAAACACACGCACAGTTTGATAACAAGTCTGGTGTCCCCAGTTCACAGCAGCCATACATGTAACTGTGGGTTGTCTGAGGTGAAGGGGTCATGAGAGGTCGTTGGCTTTAGGTGCTTTGTGTGAGTGGTCTGCTTCTAGGGACAGGAAAACAGGCTTACAGGGGGGAGGCTAAACCTGCATGGATCACAGGAGTGGTCATCTAGACTTTTACTGGATGGGTTTTGAGAGAACAGTTTGGTTTGAATTTTTACCTTGATTTTATGTAACAGATTCATATGTCTGGTACTGACACCTGTAGGAATGACTGAATAAATCAAAATGAATGAATTTTTGTTCATATATTCCTATAGAGTGGCATTTTTTTAGTAAATGTGACACTGTAGACTTCAGAAAAAGATATTACAATCGTGTTGAACTTGTTCACAAAACTTTTCTCAAGTACATGTACAAGTCAATTTTTTGTTGCTTGGCCTTTTGAATTTACTATAATTCCTTGCCAGTCCTCCAGAATTGATTGGTAAGCATTTCCAGGATCCCCCCATGCAGAGCCTCACCTGTTGTTCCATGTTGCAGGTTGGAGTTGCTGATAGCTATGGGCCTGTCAACTGATGCAGCTACACAGGAGTACTCCACTGAGGCCATGGCAGAACTACTCACAGTTCCTGCTATACAGGTTAGATAAGACATCATTCTTTGGTTCGAAAATACTCTTGATGTACATGTAGATATATGCAGATTTCATACCACTTCTGAAGGAAAATATATTATTTTGCTCCGTTGCTTCCTCTCCTCCTCCAAATTGGAACAGATGTCTGTCACCATGGTAACTGGTACTGTAGCAGACACCCTGTGGTGTTGGATTACGTTATGTAGCAAGTGGCAGGCTAGACTTGGAGGGGCTGGTCACCGTATACATGAATGTGTGTAGTATGAATAAGAAGAAACAGCAATAGTTTGTGTGGCTAGATTCGCTAGACCATGTGAAGGTAAACATTATGCTTATCGTTTTTTAGTCTTGAATCAAACAGTATCTTATTACCCCCTCAGGACAAGTTTGTGGAGATGGGTGGTGTACGCACCCTCACCGCGGTTCTACACGCACATGACCAGCGAGTGGTGAAGGAAGCCGCCACGGCGCTCAGTTATATCGTGTCAGACTCGGAGGAAAACAAACCAGCCATCGTGGCTGACCATGGGTAGGGATGAAGTTTTCATGTTCACAGACTTCAACAAATATATTTTTATTTGCATATGATGGTAGGACCTAAATGTTGGTAATTGTATTGAGGACAAATTGATTGTGAATTTAATCCAGGGCTCACTAATTTAGCTATGTTGGATGTCAGACTTAAACAAACAAACAAACAAACAAACAAACAAAGTACTTGAAACTTACTAATGCTGAGCTTGAAGATCAAATGAAACAGAGTTGGTTCTCGCAGTTTCACTGAGTGAATACAGGAAAATTCAAGCTTTACTCCCAGCCTTTTGTGAATTTAACAATGTCATAAAAATTTCACTCAGGAATGTCTAATTGGTCTGGCCTTACATGTTTCACAAGACTTGGTTTAAATCTATTCTGTATGCTGTTTTCCAGGCTTGAGGACTTGTGCCATGCAGCACGGCATGGTGGGAAGGATGTACAGAGTATTGTCTCTGGGGTGTTTCTGGAGCTGGCCTTCAACCCTGACATCCGCGCACAGATGGCCTCCCTCAACAGTCCTGGTGAGTCTGGGGGCCTGAAACATTCAGGAATCAGGGATGAATTTGCATTATATGCTGTACCTGTGGTACCTGTGTAGTTAAAATCATGAGCAGGCAGCTGTTAAAAAAGTTGGAGATGTGCATTTGTGTGTGTGTATGCGCGTGTGTGTGTGCATGTATTTGTATGATTCCAAATATACACAGTACGGGGTTGGGGGATGCCCCTATGTATGTTCCGACACCCCTATGTTCCAACACCCCTTATGTTTTGACCCATGTTTTGACATAGGGTTAGGGTTATCAGAAAATACATGAATATGTTGGTTGAGTTTTGGAACATAAGGGTGCAGAACATAGTGGTAATTATTAGCTGCAACATCGGCAAACATTCCCAGTGATGCGATTATTTGTGGGACTGGAAGGGTTGCAGACCAGTATGTTTAAGTGTGTGAAGTCTGCCATCTCTGATTGCATTGTTCTCCCTGCCCTTACAGCCCAGGCCCTGGTGCACCTGTGCCGTAGCTCAGACACAGACACACAGAGGTTTGCCCTGCAAACACTGGAGCTACTGGCCATCGAGAGCAGCAGCACTATATCTGCTCAGGTCAGGGGGTCATTTGTTATCATGTTGTTGTTGCTGTTATTGTTGTTTGTGTTGTTGTGTCAGCAGGTGTTTCCTGTTTGTTTTTACTGTTTGTGTTTACTGCTGATACAGGAGGAACTGTTGGAGTACCTGTTATTTTTACCAGTCCACAATTTGAATACAAGACTGTACCTGTAACTGCTGTTTGTGTTTTGTGTTTATTGTTTGTGTTAACTGTTTGTGTTTACTGTTGATACAGGAGGAACTGTTAGACTACTTGTTGTCCTTACCTGTCCACACCATGGACACCAGACTCTACCTACTGGCTGGGAAGATCCTGCTCTACTTCACAGAGACACAGGAGGTAACATTCATTCACCTTTTACATCTAAATCTACCAACATCTAAGACTGGTACTAATATGAAACCATCAGTGTGGTGGACCGTGGCTGCCACCATTTAACCTTTGAACACAAGTGATCATGGTTCATTGCGTGGATCATCATTTCATTGCAGATCTGCCACAATTTTTGCCATTCCTAGCCCTTTACCCCCAAAACTTCAGTGCCTGCTAGGGATTCGAACCCAGAACCTTTACATGTAGATGCTAAAGTAAGCCAACAACCCTAACCGCCAGACCCCTTCGTCCCAGAGCTGTGAGCACCTGCTACTGGGACCGGCTGAAGGACACCCTGCTGCAGTACTCCTGTACTGTTAACTTGTTTGTTGTCTGTGTTTATTGTTTGTGCTCCTGACAGAGCTGTGAACACCTGCTGGACTCAGACCGGCTGAAGGACACCCTGCTGCAGTTCTTCCGTGCTGATAACTTGTTTGTTGTTTGTGTTTATTGTTTGTGCTCCTGACAGAGCTGTGAACACCTGCTGGACTCGGACTGGCTGAAGGACACCCTGATGCAGTTTTCCCATACTGATAACTTGTTTATTGTTTGTGTTTATTGTTTGTGCTCCTGACAGAGCTGTGAACACCTGCTGGACTCGGACCGGCTGAAGGACACCCTGTTCCAGTTCTCCCGCACATCTGACCTTGTCCTACAGAAGGTCACAGCCAAGATTATCCTGGCTCTCATCGACACCCCACATCTACTGTAAGTACAGAAACCTGAAACGCCCTCTTTTGTCAGATTTTTATTAAGGCTAATTTGATGATGTGGTCCAGATGGAGGGGAAAGTCATGGCTTTATGTCTCGTTAAGGACGAACAGAGGATAAGTACCGACTGAATTTGTGCCAAGTGAATTCCTACATACAACGCATTTGTAACTTATTTTGATGTTGTTTGTATCTGTATAGCCTAAGATCGCACATTTCAGCCAGCCTTATTAGTTTGCTGCAATAAGTGGTTTGAGCATGTACTATTTTTTTCTCTCAATAAACCAGTTATTAACACTCCATGCTGTTTCTCCCACAGAATGCGGGCGCAGCATCTCGGCTTCCAGGACATTTTCCTCCACATCCGGAACAACGCGCTGGACAGGGACGCCTGGAACATGGCCGACCAGGGTCTCGCTCTCATGCAGTCTGAGCACGCTCACAAGGCAGCCAAGGGCATCATGGGATCACAGGGGTCACTCAAGGACAAAGGTCGGGGGTCATTTTCCTCAGGTCGGAGTCAGAGCACAACGTCCTTGGACAAGGGAGCCCGACCTTCTTAAACATTTGGGGTTGTTTTAAATCAGTCCAGAGAGTTGAGAAATACTGGTTGCTTCAAATTTAAGTTTTGTAATGAATCTGAAAATTTTAAATTTGACAACTATTTTTAAGGCCAAATATTTTTATATCTATAATATTATTATGAATCACTGGTTACAGAAATGAAGATACCAAAATGTCATTATCCTTAAAGAAATCTGAACATGTTTCTTAAGAAGCCTTACGCCGTATGTGCAGTTGCAATTGGAGTAAAGTTGCAATTGCACAGAGATCGTACGTTGTAAGCATGTATAACTCACTTACCACTTACGCAACGAACGATGCACGCAACCGCACACGGCCAGACGTGGCGTGCAGACCACACTCTTACACCTTGCGCAACCAGCACACACACTTATTAGCCCCAATACATATAGTATGGTTGGTTGGTTGGTTGGTCTTTGTAAAACAGACCTGTATGTTACATTTCTTTGTTCATTTTGTAATGATTGAGCACATAACCTTGTTGCAATACAAGCCTTGTATGTATACAATTCTGTCCAATGATGCACTTTCATTTTCTCAGATTTTTCTTCCAATCAGGTTTCCATGTACATACATAGCTATGCATACATTTTAGAAAATTCTTCAAATATCTACAATTTTGTGTGAAGAGAAGATATATTTGATAGAACTTGTATATATACTCTACTCTAGATCTATTATGTACACCCAAACTGCAGTTTGTGCTTTTTTTTATGTTTAACATTATTTAGAATCATGTCCTATGCACCTTTTTTATACAATATCCTTAATGGATGGAAACAAGAGTTGCAAACAAATGATATATGTAACATAATAAATGTCACACAAAGATACTGCCTTGCCACTGTAATCCTTACCAGTAAGGTTCAGACCACAAACTAGAAATGGAACCCCAGACCTTCTGGTCTGGAAGTGGAACTGGTGACCACTACACCACAACGCACCCCAAGGCCAACTTATCCGTCTTTACAAGGATCAGTGAAGGCTTAAGTATGACGATTTTACCTTTTGCAAAGTGTGTATAGCATTACTTCTGCAGTACAAATCTTAACAGGATAGATTCCCAGTCGCAGGCCAGTGGATATGTGCACAGCTGGCGGGGCATTTATCTCACCCAACACTATAAGATCTCAGTCTTATACAGGAAAGTGAAGAAAGGGGGAAAAAGACTTCTTGCAAGCTTGATGTGGTGATCAAGCAATAACTCTAATCCTTCTGAAGCGGATTAGTCTAAATCCCCTCTTCTCTGTACCTTAAAGCTTTGTGGATGATGTAGGGATCGGATTTAAGGTTGGTGGTGAACAGGCCGGTCTTTGTTGCCTTTGTTAAGCGGAGATATAAACTCCGCCCAGCTGACGGGTTGTTGGGAGAAAAGTGGGGTAAGTTGACGTAACCCTGCAAACAGCCACGCATGTATGTCATCCGTAACAAGTCGTCAGGGGCAAACATGTTCCCTTGTAGCCACTTGTGTCGCATCTCCATACGGCAAACACCGGCTTTCACCGCCGCAACCTCCGCACTTTCACACTGTTGACACATCCATAATGCACCGCCATTCAGCGGGCTTCTGGGAACCGCAGTTAGGAACTATTTTCGGGAACGGTAAACTATTTTGGGTCCTTTGAAACGAGGGGAAAGATGACGAAATGTTGACACTGAGGAAGGAGGGACAATGATGACATCCATTTAGCCAGTTTAAATACTAATTTGAAAATCTGACGTCATTGCAGTACAGTTTACTTCAACAGAAGCGCTTTTGCCATGTCGAGGTTTTAACCGGGTGACAGCACACTCAAGAAATCTCGGAACATCATAGCGTCAATGACCGTCGTACAAATTTCTTGATAACCATAATTTCAGTCACCAGAGTCATTTTTCGCTTAAACAATCTTTAGCAGTGGCTGGGTCTCGGTGGTGGCTTAATCCAGCCAACATCAACTGATATCCCTACACAATAGAGGATACGGGCCGTATTCCGGCCGAAAATGTCTCAGACTTTCAAATTTTCAAGTAAGTACTTGATTCTCAATCCCAACGTCTGCTTGGCGCTCGTACATCGCGATTCTGTCTGTAAGATGTCTGCAGGTCGCACATTCCAGACCGTCCGTCAGTCACTCCACGTGCTTCCCGCGCGCGCCGAAACTAATGCGTCTGCGAGTTTCCATGAAATACAATTTCCCCCTCCGACCAACTTCCGTCCCGCGAATTTCCGCTCCTCTTTCCCTCGGTTATTGGCTCGCAGACACGCCGCGGTGGAGAAGCAAATTAAAGGGCTCGGTGGGTGGCGCGGGGGGTATCTCCGGACTTAGGCCCTGCACTTGTCGGGAGAAAACTCCTCAGAGACCGAGAAGAGGTGCCGACTTGGCCGGAGACTTTATAAAGACCGTCTTTCATGTCGACGTTCTGTCGGCTCGAGCCTACACGATGTCGCGGCTGATAACGCGTCACGCTAACAAGATGACGCATTTGTCTCCAGCTGCCTGGCATAGCTGAAACACCGCGAAGATCACGGCCTTACTTCATGTTCTATCTATATAGGACAAGGTTTACCCTCTTAGTTTCAGAGTCTATGGCAAACGGGCGACTCATTTAACTTCAAGTCGTTACTATTTAAGGGCGGGGCAATGAACACCGGTATTCAGGGAAGAATTTCAAACATTTGTAGGAAAAAAGAACCCAGGATTATGCCCTTTCTTGATGTTCTATAGATGTTTTTACCTTTTAATTTAGGAGTCGAGACGAGACTTCCGTTCAGTTTAAAATTGTTACTTCGGGTTGAACATTTGTCGCTCTGCATTTAACTAAGGCAGGCACAGGACAGAAGAGAGTAGATACCAATGGTGGCCTGCATCATCAACAGATAGACGGGAGCGGCGACGACGACGCTGATGATTTAACTACGAACGTTACGTATTGTCTGTGTGTGACAAACATTTTGGTATATTTTGATGTTTGAACTAATAGATGTAAATCGTAGTTACGTTGGAATGTTAGGTCTATAGTCAAGTTTTCTTTCATATCCAAATTGTTTCTTTTATGGGCGGGATATATGTAGTCCTAAGAATTCTAAGCATCTTTAGCGTTCCTAGGATTACCTCTTCACTGATGTTCTAAGACAAAGTTTACTCCTTGGTTATGAAGTCTGCAGTCAGTCAGTCACAAGGTCCTCTTTCAACTTTAAGATTGTTACTGTTTCTTTTCATGTGCGGGTCCGGAAGTTTTGTAAGCATAGCCTTACTTTAATACAAGTATGTATAAGCAAGGGTTTAGAGGCACAAGAGAGCATTGACAGAATAGCTACCGCTCTAAGTAATATTCAGTCCTTCTGTAGAGGAACTCACAGCGACTGGTAGTTATTCTGGAGAGCTGTATTTCACGATTTTGCCTGCAGCAAAACCCAAATATCACAAGATTATAATATGTCTGTTTATCATATGTTTTCCTGCCAGTTTCTACCGAAAAAAGTTTTTTTCTCAGATTCTCATTCCCTTCTTTCAGATTTCTTTTTTTCATTCTTTCCTTCCTGCCTATCATTTCTTATGTTATTCATTTTCCATTTATTTCTTCTGTCGTCAGCCTGGGACCTTGGCGGGCGGCTCCGTACGTAAGCCGGGGTTGACCTGTACTCACGCCCGACAAAGGGCCACCAAATCCCGCCCAATTATGGCATAAAGGCCGCCTGATTACATTTAACACAATCACGACATGTTAAATCTGTCTGACCCGGGCTGAGCCGCTGTTTTCTCCCTCAATCCTCAATAAGGAACAATTCTTGGTGTTGTAAGGAGAGTTTAAGGAGCGTGGTGGGACCACCGGGATTGGGGTAATCTCAGTGCCGAGTCGAGAAGTCGGGCAGGGTCGGGCCGTTTTTTAAGTCTAGTTTAAACTGACGGCTTTGTAGAAAGGGAAAACAGAATCTATGAAAGGCGTTTAGAAACTGTAGATGAGGATTCCCAAAGTTGACTGTTGACATGAAAACATTTGACTGTTCTCATGCCATGACTTTTATGACCAATCAAAAACGGTGTATGAATATTTCTAAAGTGTTATTTACACATGAGAAGCTTTGTTGATACAACAAAAACTCCGGAGACTTCCGTATAGTCAACTGCAAACTTGAGTAGGGTTTCAGTATCTTTTCTAATAACAAAAGCACTCCCGTATGTATTTATTCCTTCTCTGTGAGAATTGTCACATGTAAAGATATAATCGATGTTGATAACTGTGATATTTCTAAACGTTTTAGAACTGCAGTTGTGCCTGTTAAAAAAAAAGAATAAGAAGCTTGTTCTGGTTGATAAAAGTGGCCTTGTGGAGCTTAAGCCACCTGTGAGAGAACTTCGTCACCGGACAGGAACACTTTGACACAGACACTCTACATCTTCTCCCCACCGACAGCACGAAGAAAGCCCGGGGACGGCGGGAGACAAAGCCGGGTAGGTTAGTGTGTCTGTGACTATTTGTACAGGTGGGGGGACGTGGGGTGAGTTTCTCTGGGAGTCCGGCTCCAAACTGCTGACCTCTGCCGTTTCGCAACATGTCTCAATATTTGTACACCAGTGACGTCGTAGGATGACGTAGTCAGTCACATGAAATTCAAATTGTAACGGATTGGTCTCGCCTAAGCTGCTCCCGGCAAAAAAGAGAGGACTGCTGATTAGTCTCTGCAAATACCAGATGCAACTTTACGGTGCTATTCAGGATTTGAGACTCATTTTTGTTGTCTTTTGAGGTTTAGGACGCCACTGATTTTAGTAGAGGTGGCGTCCATGAAATACAAAATCATATCTTTCATCCCAGCTCCCTAGAACATAGTATCTATTTTTGATAAATGTTTTAGAGTCTGTATTTTCCCGAACAGCTTCCGGGCATGCACGACCTTCCGTAAAGCCAGACTGTTTATGTCTTAAGAAGCGAGAAGAAGCAGAACCTGTACATTGTCATATGTAGTTTTACTATAGATATATTTTAGTCTACCATCGCTATTTACCATGACCTGTACTTAGTTCGCAATGAGCAAAAATGTACAATAGAGGTCTTTCAATCATTATTACTGCACAGTCTCCATGTCAGTATCCATTGTTTTCCCGCTCAGTTCCAAAATGTCTGCATTAAATTCCCGCCAGACGTATAACTTTGCCGGGATGCGCAGACTGATGAAATATTTTCTTCAGACCCATTTGTATCATAACACCAAAATTTGAGCCCAGTTGAAGCGTGAAAACAAGGACTCAGTTGTGCAGGGATATTAATACTAATGTCCTTGGTAAAAACAAACGTAGCCATAGCGCCACCTTGACAAAATAGACGACCTGTGATTGTTGATATTAAAATCCTTTAAGATCCGTCAAAAACGACATTTGATACGAAATAAGGAGGCGTGACCTTCGTAGGCAAATTTCAAAGGTCATCATGGCCGCCGTTCTGTCCCTGTAGTCATTCTGGTCATCCCATAATTCACGTCTGACAAATTGGTTTGGACAGAGATCCTTGCCCGGGGCGGTGTAAACGTGCCCGCATTGTTCGCTGCAATTACGTGGGTAATCAGGGATGAGTCTGTTGACCTCTGACATTTGGTGCTCCAGAGACTGACCTGTCGTGACCCTGTTTACGCCGCCATTACTGGGATTCTTGTCAACACATTTCGAGTGTCAACGAGGTGTTTCATGCATAAACTTTAGACAGTCTTTTCGTAACAAGACAAGCTGAATTTTGAAGGACACAAGTAATACTGTCCCAAAACCGTCACCAATTTGCGCCCGCACGACGTACTAGTACTAGTATGTGGCCGCCGGACATTTAGTAACTGCAGGAATGTATAAGGTAGGTGCTG